TCTCCCGTTCCCACTCCCCCTGCTTGTGTTCCCTCTCTTGCTGTGTCTCTCTGTCAAATAAATAAATAAAATCTAAAAAATAAATAAATAAAATAAAACTTGGTCTCCCCAAAATATTTTGACTAGTCTTCTAATGCTACATGGATGTTAAAAGCTACTTCTTCTTAAAGAAGCAGAGCTATTCATTCCCAGCAAGGAGTAATAGTGAGATGTTGAGCAAGGAACACGATCCAGAAAGCAAACTGTTTTCCAGCTTCTGATTCAGGGCATGACTCTAGTTTCATTTTACTTTTTCAAGTACATTTTCTGTGGCTTTTTTCCCCTAGAACTTGAGAACTCTATTAGTCATCACACTGCTGTTCCCTTTCATTTGTGTGTCTTCTTTCTCTAGATGATTTTAAATTTGCCAAATGTTTGACTAGATGTTAAGGAGTTTGCTTAGTTATATACATTCTAGTAAAACAGTTTAATACATTCAAACCCAGAGTGTAATTTTGCACACACACACACCCCTTAGTCATAGAACTGGAGGGGTCCTGAGATACTGTCTCCCCCAGACCTCTCATTGTCCAGGTTAGGAAATGTAAACACAAAAAGTTGAAGAGACTTTCCCAAACCAAACATACTTGTGGCAGAACCAGGTTACAGAAACAGTCTTGAACTCCCCGTTTTATTCATTCTATTGTCACATATCAGCAATATTTACCACTATTTGTACATGTTATAAAATATCTCCCAACTTACACAGAAATTTTTAATGGGTTTTCAAAAAAATTTTTTTATATGTTTTAAAATTACATTTTGAATATGTTTTTAAACCTGAAGCTATAGGGTTGCCTGGATGGCTCAGCTGTTAAGCGTCTGCCTTCAGCTCAGGTCATGATCCCAGGGTCCTGGGATTGAGCCCCACATGGGGCTCTCTGCTCAGCATGGAGCCTTCTTCTCCCTCTCCCACTCCTCCTGCTTGTGTTCCCTCTCTCACTGTGTCTCTCTCTGCCAAATAAGTAAAATCTTTAAAAATAATAAACTTGAAGCTATAGAAATATAATTACAGTAAGTAGGGACACAGAGCACGAGGGAGGTGCATTTTGCTTTAGCTTTTTCATGGCTTCTGGGTCTCTAACCACTGAGGAGGGTACACAGCTCTGTGTGGTGATTCTCTCTGCACAGGGAGATACTGTCAGAATTGAGCAGATAGATGATTCTTCTGCACCTTTGCTGGAGGATGTAAAAAGGGACAGTGCCTATGTATGTTTGGATAACAGCCTTTCCAGCTTTCCAGCAAGTGGTTCCAGGAGAGTCAATCTGCTGACTCTTTTTTTTCAAGTGGTTTTGAAACAGAGTTTGTACCTGAGTATTCTTGAATAACCCCCCTTACAGTTTTCTCATGTACCAGAAAGCAATTCGCCTACAAGCCACCCCTTTACTCTGGTTCAGTACTGATTTTTAAAAAAGATTTTATTCATTTGACAGAGAGAGAGAGCAAGAGAGAGAACACAAGCAGGGGGAGTGGGAGAGGGAGAAGCAGGCTTCCTGCAGAGCAGAGAGCCTGATGCGGGGCTCGATCCCAGGACCCTGGGACCATGACCTGAGCTGAAGGCAGACGCTTAACAACTGAGCCACCCAGGTGCCCCTGGTTCAGTACTGATTTATTTGCATGATTCAGGCACTGAATTTGGCCTGAGAACTACAGTAATAAATCCAAGTTTCCCATTTACTCTATGTACAGAGTATTGTAAGAAGCAGAAGGACACATGCCTAAGCTACATTAGTCACCATTTGTGTTCATAGTTACTAGTCTTTAAGATGTAAGAGGAGAAATATCTTTCATGATCTTGAATATCTTTTTTAATAATATATATTTTTTAAGATTTTATTTATTTGACAGAGAGACACAGCGAGAGAGGGAACACAAGCAGGGGGAGTGGGAGAGGGAGAAGCAGGCTTCCCGCGGAGCAGGGAGCCCGATGCAGGGCTCGATCCCAGGACCCTGGGATCATGACCTGAGCCAAAGGCAGATGCTTAATGACATATGTTTATAGTTATTGTATGCATATTAGGACTACTTCTATTTAACATGAAATATATGACTAAGAAATCTTATAGTCAGTCAAATACCCAAATAGTTTGTTCAAACTATTTCATTTCTCAGAAACAACTGAAAGTTAAACATCAGGATCTATTTTTATGTGGATGTCTTATATAGACCTGACACATTTATTTTTCAGAAAGAGTTCAAATAACTAATAGCAAGTTTCTACAGCCAAATATTTACTTTTTATGAAATATGAAATTATCTTTTATAGTTCTAACTAACTGGGCTGTGTCCCAAACCTTAGGTTTCTCCCTCCTTATGGTGACAGATCGATACTTACCTTATAATGCCCGAGAGTTACAGTTAATATGGTTCAGTCATAATCTGTGCTTTTCCCAGGAACTGCCAGGGTGTAGATGGAAGATGAGTTAGTGTTCAACATTTGAGAAATTTTGCAGCAAGTTTTCATCCAACTCTTGAATTTTTCTTTCTGTCCAAGTGTATTTTAGATAATGATTAGAAATCAAAATTTCAATTTTGCAAATATTTATTGAACTCAGAGAAAAGCACACTGCTTGAAATTGGGGATATATAAATGAGTAAAAAATTCCTTGCCTTCAAGGAGCTCTTAACAGATGATTCAGAGAAGTACGTAACTAGCTAAATTGTGAGTCAACGCAATCACAAACTTAAGCAAATTCCTAAGGTGAGCACAGAGGAAGGAGGAATTCATTCTGATTTGGGGCTTTAGGAAAGGCTCTGCATAGAGGGAGTGGGGCATTTGTGCTGCTCCTTGAATAGGGTAAACAATGGAACACACTGGGTTTCCTGGGTCAGTCCAGTTTGTGTTGTTATCCAGGCACAATTATAATACTGCCCTTTCATGCTCAAAGGTTTTCTTTGGACAATAAATTATGTGATCACACTAGTATTGAATCATCCATTATGATGTTGACGGGGAAAAGAAGGAGGAAAAAACTTCAGATGGATCAAACAGCAAGTCAAAAGGCAAAGAGGAATAAAATCCCGTGGTATGTTTGGGGAAAAACTATGCATCTTTCTCTTATGTGCTCAAAAGAGGGCATTTTCCCCCTTTTCCTATTGTTTGAATTGAAATGGGAGTATGTTCTAGAAGATCTCTCATGAACTTTTCTATTTGCATGTTTAACTTATTTTTCTTTCCAGGAATGTGACTATTATGCAAAAACCTTTTTCTATATTTATGCTTCATTTTCCATTTTCATTTGATCAGTTTTATTTCTGACAAAGTACTATTTTCACATCACAGAGGAAGAGAGGGAAGTTAAAAACCAATTCATACATTTCATCATCTGTCTTCTAACCAGTTAATATTGAATTAGAACATACAATGTGCTTGGACTTTGTGTACGTTCCAAGAAACAAGTATTTAAAGAGAAAGTAACCAAAATTAGAAAGATATTATTTCTGCCTTTATAACTATTCAGGGGAAAAAGAATGGAATATGCTGAAATAATAAAGAAAATCTTAACCAACTTGCATTGTTTTAAACAATAGATTTACATTATTATTCATGCGGTAAAGACCATTTCTGATGAAATTATTTCCCTTAGGTATTTTTTACCAGAAAGTTCTAAATTTAGAACAAAGAAATAATGCCTAGCACTATGCATATGTATGAAAATAACACAGCCATCAGCTAAGTGAGTCCCACAAACACTTGAGAAGACCATCTTATCACACAAGAAAGAACAGTAGACTTGACTTCCATGACTTGTTAATTGCCAGTTGCTTTTGTCTTAGCCCTTTAGGGTCAAAGAACTCAAACCACTGATTCTATGTATAAGTACCAAGAATATGTAGAATATAGGACACACATGGTGTGAAAAGATGGGGAAGGGCGTTCCTAGCGATTTGGTTACAGGAAAGGTGAATGCAGGGAGAAGGGGCATCCAGCTCCCTTTTCTGCCCCTTGCCTCATTTGCTTCTCTGGCTTCAGAAAGCTGTCCACTCCCATATGGGAAGTTAAGATCATACTACAGCAAGCCCTTTGCTCTTTTCCCAGCCTAGTTAATATCAAGGTTTCTCATAGCATGAATTTGGTATTCTTTTCCACAGCTTTTCTCATGAGCAGGTGATGAGGTCTACAGATTTTCAGAGAGGGTTTTTAAAATTTTTGAAACTATTCAAAATGTCAATAAGCTTAGAAAGAGCATTTATATTTGATACAGTTATCTATGACTCTGATTTTCTGACCTCATATAACGTAAACAAAACTCATCTGGAGATGCTAGTTTGATAAAATAACCAATAATTTTTTCCTCTCCTTCTTAGGCCCTCACCTTCCCTTCCCTTGATTCTTGTCTTCTAACTGTCTTCTCTGGTCTTCTAACTAATGTAGCTGCTTGAAGTCTCTTCCCACTTCAGTCCATCCCTGGGCTGCCGCCCAAATGATCCTTCTATTCCATGACTTGATTATGATCCAGTTTACCGCTTTTTGATATAACTACTTTTCTGGCCTTACACCTTTTCCCATTCATAACTTATGCCTTTGCAGAATTTCAGCCTTGGGAACTTGCCCTCTCTCTTAAGCCTCCCCTGACTCCATGAATTTGTCAGGCTCTCCTCTGTAATACTACAGCAGTGACTGGATACTGGATATTGGAGTTCTTGTTCATCTAAAGATCATCATCATTGCTTAGCAAATTGCCTATGTGTATTCAGTAAATTAAAAAAGGTAACTGAATTACTTCCCATTTGGGCAGAGCTTTCTTAAATCAAAATCACTAGCCCTAACAGGTTTTACTGGCTCCAAATGATGACTTGGATGTTTCAGGCCACATGCGGCTAATCACGTATTTCTGTAGATAGGCATAAGAGGATGTATGTGCATAAGTGTACCAAGGCCAAAGATATATGAGATTCCCTCTAAAGTTGGCTAGGTGAAATAAATTTGATTTTTGATAAATACACAAATCACCATAAATCACTTTCATATAAATATGTTTTATTGCAGAGAAGTTATAATTATTTACATGCTGTAACACATCACAACATAAATTTACCCAATATTTTTCATGGTGGGATGCTGTAGGTTTCAGATAATAGTTTCAGAAGAACCACAGATTAAGTGAAGAGACTTACAGCTTTATTGACTCTACAACTCTCGGTTGCTAAATGCTAGAAGTCAAAAGGCAGTGTTTCTCAGTCCTACCTGTCACCACTTGCATGCAGAAACCTAGGAAGCAAATACAAGAGAACTGTCGAGTTTCAAATCCATATTGCCACCAAAGTTTACAGTGGGCTGAGTTATAATTTATGTCGTAAAGCATTTAATTCTTGCATAAAATATACAGTTCTATTAAGATTGGTATAAATCTACTTATTTATAAACCCTGGCTTAAAAACAAGGACAGGATGCAGCCTGCACATGCATTGAGAAGGACAACCTAGCAAATGTTTGTGACCTTAACAGTGTTGATTCACTTTCTTATTGTTATCGATCTAGGAAAATAACCTCAAGAATTGTAGATTTAAACTTCTCTTGGTGATAAGTAATGGCAATGAAACTCTAGGAAAGACCCGAGGCACTCTCACTGATTTATGCTGGTGGAGAAAATCTATGGACTGTAGAATGTCACTAAGGTATAATTTGGCAAGTCTTCTTTAAGCCACATCTCTAGCAGGATCATCCTGAAGTGCAATAAAAAGTCACCGATGCTTGAACTGCTTATTTCTTAAAAAGTGAATAAAGTGCTAACAGACCCCGAACATAAATGAAACAAATAGGTGGGCCTGGAAATTCCAAACCAAGTTCAATATAAATATGCCTTAAAGTTGTGTTCTAAGGTTAACAAATGGAGAGGCCTTGACTGAAAAGAAAGAAAAGAAGGAAGTAAATGAAGGAAACACAGAAAAACAGAATTTCTATATCTCTTCACACCTACCCCACCAACCTGAGTAATGCACAAAGCAAGCGAATGGGTGAGGAAGATGGATGCACAGCTTTGCAAATGGTGACGTGCTCACTTACTCCTGAATACAAACCATTGAGAAAATTTTGATGATGAATAAGGAGAAGTCCTAGTTTCTAGTTTCCACTGAGAATGGTATTTTCTCAGAACAGCCCTGTATCTACCTTCTGATTCTCTTTTCTTATCTTTTATCCTCCTAGCATGTTCTCCTTGCTGCTCATGAAATGAAAAGCCATTAGTTAGGCTGGAAATGTCCTGGCCAAAGAAGACGTTGATCCTTCATTGTGTCTAGCACGAGAGAAAGGGAAGTCTGCATTTTATTCTTAAGCGATTCATCTTTAAATAAAATGAGACTGAGCTTTGGAATGGAATCTCTTTGCATGATCACATCAGTAGGGCTAAGTCAGCAAAGTCAGCAGCTTAGGAGTCTCATGCCAAGTGATCAGGGTGGAAGGCAGTACGATTTACAAATTTTGCTCTGGGGGCTGTTTTGCTTTGCAAATAAACCTTGCATTTTCTATTTTGAGCTGGGTGGCTCACAATGGCAATTTGCAGGACTTGTAAGTTTTCCAGTGCTTGGGAGAAGGAAGAGCCCACACCACCTTATAGGCTTTGACTATATCAGGTTATAAACCTCTTTGGGATTTAAGCCCAGCAAGTGTTACCCCTAGCTGAAGCAATGAATAAGAGCTTATGAGAATAAGTAGTTTAAGGTAATTTAAAATATATATTCAGTATGCATAATAAAAATATATCCATACAATGATCTTGATGCTATCATAATTTTTCTCTTTAAAAAAATATTCCCTTAAAAGTGCTATCAGTAGCTCCCTTCCTGTCTGTGTTTTGAAAGGCAAATTCCCTGGCTCTGCAGTACTGTGGCAATTCTCATGTCGTTCCTAGAGTCTTCCCTTTTCAGTGGTAATAACATGCGCAGTGTGTTTTTTGCACTCTTAGCTTCTTCCTGGCGAAATGCTGCTAAGTATGAAATACTGAAAGAGTTAAAAGGGACAATAAATTGGAATGAAGGTGTTACCTGTCTCTGACTCTGAACAAACAATAGGTAAGTTGTCCTTTATTGAGACATATGACTAAATAGGACTGCTCGATCTCTGAGTCCTAACAAGAAGTGCAAAACAAGTAACTCAACTTGTATAAAAAACCCTGATTAAGACAGTATAACAAACCATGATGCGAAACAATAGAGTCAAATCCAAATTCACAATATATAAACCACAGCCAAAACTAAAAGATTTTATTGTAACGGTTATGGCTTCCCAAGCCAGAGAAAGCTTATTGTACTTCAAGGATCAACTAAAGTCGATAAATAGCAGGTATTCTGTAACTTGCAATAACAACTGAGTAGCTGCGGATTGCATAAATGTGTTGTGTCACATAATATCAAAGTTATTTGCAAAAATTATACAATCTGGAATGCTTGAATATGAGACACAACAATGTACTGAAACATACATTTATAAGAAAATGAGAGCAATCATTAATATAAAAGGTATTTTTGGGATGCATTAAGTTAGCAGTGCTATCAAGGTTAAATAGGTAAAGTAAGTTCAGTTAGCTACTTAGAATTTCGGTCATATAGATCTATACCTTCTTCTTTGCAAAATCTCATACCTCTTCTGTGTCTTCTGGTTGGCCTTGCTTAGGATCTTCAAAGTGCCATGGGTAAATACTGATAGGGGCAGACAGTGAGGGTGACTCCCGCTGACCATGCTGAAATGTAAGGATTCTCCTCGTGTTCCCAGGGGAAAAACTTCCCCTGGCCAGTCTAATTCTTCCACTTTGCTGTTGCTCTGCCCTCCCGGTCTTCTTCCACCCGTGCCTTTCACATTTCCCTCAACTGACAAACACTCCTTGGGAATTTTTGATCCTTCCATCTTCTGTCGAATTAAGGGTTTCTTCCTTCTCCTTTTCTTTCTGGGGATGCTACACTTTAAAAGTATCCCACACCTCTTATTTCCGAGGCCCTGCCATCTTATTTGCACTTAGAGTGCAAGAGGCAGGTAAAGCTACACTTCTTTCAGCATTTGGTTGATTTGGGGTCTCAAACTCCCAAGGACACACCTCAGCTCGTGATGTTAAAGGCTGCTGAAAGTTATTACTTGAGTTATAGCAGCCGGGCACATTTTCCTCAGGGGAAGATGTCTTTTTATTCTGGTCTCCTGTTGGGTTGAGATTTTCATTCTCGATTTTTGATGCTACAACTTTGGGGGGCAGTTCTTCATATTGCCCAGCACACACACTGGCTGCATAATGCTGACCGCCATTCTCATCTTTGGCTCTCCCTGGGGGAACCTGAGTCTTGGAAATCAAAGGCTTCTCATCTTCAAAACCAGGCTGACCTTGGCTCTCCCAAGGGCATACCTCAGCCTTGTCTATGCTCTTCTGATTGGTTTGCTGATACAGTTCAGCTGCCTTGGGCTTCTGATGAGATTTCTCCTTTAAGGAAAAAGTTGGGTTTTTCTCCATTTCAGAAGCTGCAATAGATACGTGTTTTTGAACTTTTGATTCTGAAGGCACGGGACCAGGGGCCAGGTCATAAATCTCCCAAGGGCACACTTCCCCTATGTCAAAGTTGTTCTTCATCTGGGTGGTGCCTGGGCTCATGTCAGAATTGGCAGTGGGTGGGTTGACCCTTTGTTGCTTCATAATCCCAGATTTCTGAGGTTTTCTTGGCTCCTCCACATGATTGGAGTTTTGGGGGGCAGAATCTTTAGTCTCTGTGTTATCTGAATTTGAGTATTTTCTGTTTGTTTCTTTATCTTTTGGCAGAGGTTTCTGGGATTTAGCACGATCTTCCATGCCTGATGTTTGGGTTTTCCCAGCTAATCCAAGAGTCTTCTCCTTGGCACTTGCTATGACACTGAGAGACTTTTGCAACATGGATGTTCGGGGGTGGCCCGGCTTCTTCTCTGAGCTGAGATTGTGAGCGCTTGCTGACTTACACACCAAAGGCACAGACTCTGTGGACTCAGCCTCACTGTTTTCTTTCAGTTTTTGTGTTAGTTTTTTACTTGACAGAGACTCCAGTGTGGAATGTTCTGTAGCCTCCTCTTCTTGGCTTTCCACTGGTAAACTGTTGGACTCTTCCGTGTGCTCCCTCACATGATCGTAAGTGCTGTGCGATTTCTTTAGGGAGAAGACCCGGTTTTTCAGAGACTCCTCTTTGGGCTTCCCGTTGTTACCTGAAGACTCTTGTGGGTTCTTCCTGGCCAAGGTAGTGCTTTTGGCTGTGCTATGGTCTGTGACTTCCTTGTCCTCTTTGGAACACTGCCTGCTGACCGTCTCTGGGATCTCAGTTATACGCCTCATGATCGAACGGCCTAAGCCCTTCTTGGAGCACCGCTTTTTCTGGAGGTGGGGGTTATTTGTAATCATCTTCTTCCTTTTATATATTTCCAACTGGGCATAGAGTTTCTTCAGCTCATCCTGCCAGAAGAAGAGCAAATTCACAGAGATGTGGAACTTAGTGGTTCAGCCAGATACTATTACTAAATGTAACCTGAAGTCAGTAAGCTCGAGCTCTTTAGGGAAACTGCCCTACAGCTTTTCACACCATGTGTGCTCATCAACCTTCTCCTCATTCTTACTTTTCTGACAAATTTGTGTTCTGTTACACATAGAGTTTGAACTTTAAGACATGAACACATGCATCCTGCACTGGCTTCATGGAGTGAGCCCTTTGGACTTACAATTTGTGTGGGCCGGACTCGACCTGGACAATAACAAAACACAGCATATTGTCCACTGACAAACCACATCCCTAAACTATATTGGAAGCATCATGAAGCCATTGATAAAATTACCCCTGATGTTGGGTTAGGTTTAGGGGACAGCAGACTATCAATTACTAAAAGCAGCTTCTTAGTCCAAATGCTGACGTACTGGCACAGATTACTTTCAGTAATCTGGGCTCTCTGCTCGCAGATCTATACTTCCTTTCCATCAGCAATATGTCATAAACCATAGTAGGGAACATGTATCACCTTCTGCTATATTATTTGTCCTGAGTACTTATATCTATCTAAAATAGTAAAAGTTCATCATTATGACTGCTCATAAGTCAGTTGAGACTATCAAGATTGGTCTGTGTAATTTCTACCATGATGTGTGTTTTAGAATTGGGTTAACTCTGCATTCGATATTTTCAGTTCTCACACACACACATTCCCCCTCTCTTTTTCTCTCTGGGCACGTGTGCACACAGGTGAGCATACGCATACATCAGCCCACACATGCTTGCCTGTGTGCACGAGGTGAGCCTGAAATAGGAAGGCTGAAATACTGGCATTACCCGAATGTCCTCCGGGTCTAAGCTGTGCTCACTCCATGCGGAGTTGATGCTGCTGTTCAGGTAGGACCCAGACCGGCCCAGGTCTAGCTCATCTTCATATGCTTCTGTAGCAATGTCATCTCGGGGGTTATTGCTTGAATGTGAAAACTGCAACAGAGACACAATGTGAGCTGCAGACATTAACCCACTGGCAGACAGAGCAGAACAATTTTCTAAAGGTTCTAATGTTCACATCATTTCTTCAGCTTAGATTAACTCATTTACCAAATTCCTTATAAAAGATTTGCTGTTATATTTGTGTTTTGCTTTTCATGTTACACGCTAGAGCTCTTAGGCCATCTTGATATGTGGTTCCTTCTCCGACTCCTATTTTCATCCTCGTCTTTTCTCCGGGCTCCCAGTGTTCACTTACATTACTCCTCATACATGATATTTGCATTCTGAAAATGAAAATAAGTAGAAAAACCCACACAAATGTTCTCCAAGCAATTTAGACCCACTGGCAGCTGGAGGGAAAGATTTTTTTTGAGCAGTAGGGTCTACCTTGTGTTTGTCATTCTTCATCACACAGAGGAGGCTGTATGTCACCAAAGGGTACAACTGGCCCTGATCACAGACAGTGACTTTGAGTCTACTACACATGGCTCCAAAAAAGCTGCCTCCAAGACCTAGGGGACAGGAGATCTGAATGCTAGCATCAACTGCGTTGACAGTGAGACTGGAAACAAATCACGGAAGCTCTCTGGAGCACCGTGCTCTCTCAGCCTAAAGTGATGATATCTAAGTTCAAAATTCAAAACCTTCACTGAAATTACAGAATTTTTTTCTCAAGCTCAGTATTCTCAAGTTCCTCCCTCATTACATTTTGAGGAATTTTTATTCTTTTCATGTGGCCTTTGGATATTTTTCAGTTTCGCAGACTCTTGCTATCTCTATTCTTCATCAAATGGAGACGTGGAGAAGTGATTCGGACAAATGATGGAAAGCAGGGAGACGCAAAACAATCTCGCCACTTCACACAACATATAAACCAACTGACTGTCCTATGAAAACTGAGAGAATGGTCTAGGGAACATGGGTTCTCTTCTCCCAGCTTGTCATCAGGTGAAATATTCCTTTAAAAAATTAACAGATCACCCTTTCATGATACAGAGCTATTTTACTGTCAATGTTTGTTAAAATATTTAAGTGGGCAGGTGAATATAATATAACTTGTGAAACAGAAATTCTCTATGTAAGGAATCATGAGTGTTTTGTAATTGGAGCTGAGAAACCACAGAAACGGGTAAATCTTTCCTTCACTCTTGTACTACATCTGTGGTTCCGACATGTGTCAGGAATTTAAGGCTCTAAAGATGAATAAAACACAGTCCTCTCCTCCAAAATCTCAAATGCTACTAGGAAACCACCCAGAGGTTATTTATAAGAGTGGAATTGTTCTTCTTGAGCGCAGTCTCGGAGATGATCTTGAGTTTAAGAAACACTTGTCAGATATTGCCCATTTTCTGCTTTATTATTTGTCCTGAGTACTTATATCTATCTAAAATAGTATTTTAAATATTTATCTTATTTATTTCTTCTGTTTTCCCCTCCTCCATAATATAAGTACTACAAGAGCACATATTTTTATCTGTTCATTAGTCTTATTCCAGGATATAGAACTGTGCTTGGCAAAGCGCCTCAATGATTTTGTTAAATTATCTGAAGTGGAGGTATAATTCACATACCATAAAATTCTCAAATTTCAATTGTACAATTGAGTGATTTTTGGTATTTCACACTGCTGTGCAACTATCACCACTATTTAATTCCACAATATTTTCATCACCCCAAAAAAGAACCTTAAACCCATGAAAGCAGTCACTTCCATTTCCCCTCTTCCCAGCTAGTGGCAACCACTTACCTACTTTCTGTCTCAACAGAGTTGCCTGTTCTGGACATTTCATATAAATGGAGCCACACAAGATGTGGCCTTTTGTGTCTAGCCTCTTTTACTTGGTGTCATGTTTTTGAGGTCTGCACTAGCTGTAGCACGTATCAGTGCTTCATTCCTTATGTTGGATAGTGTTCCACTGTGTAAATACATCACATTGTGTTTCTACAGTTGATGGACATTCGGGTTGCTTCTATTTTTCAGCTACTATGAATAGGGCTGCTAGGAACATTCATGTACAAATCTTTCTATGAATATGTGTTTTCAATTCTTACAATTGGATGAACAGTCTGGGTATACAGTACATCCATCTAATCAAAATGTAATCGTATAATGCAAAGTATGAAAATGGGTAAGATAAATTGCAGTAACAGACTACTCCATGAAAACTGTAGCTATCTGGTATAATTCAAGTAAGGAAGAAAATAGGCATTTTGCTCTGTTTACATTTGTTTGCCCTTTCAATCAGGCTGAATTTCAATGTTTTGCTTGTGAGAGGAGGTAGAGCCTGGGGTGAATGACAAGCAATCACAAATTCTTGTCTCAGCTGTGCTAATATTATATTGTGTGGTACTAATACAGATATATAATGTTTTTGTTTTTCTATGTGTAAATGAGGAAAATAATAATAATGCTCTAACTTGTATGTTTTTTCCGCACACTCTGATATCATATTATTTCATTGTAAGCAGCTTTATTGCTATCATGTCATAGATGAAGAAACTGAACCTCAGAGAGATGAAGAGTCTTGGCTAGTGTCATACCGTATAGCTAGTGTGGGTGGAGCATATATTCATAATCTCTGTATTCTGAGTGCTGGCCCATTTCCCCCCACTGTGGTATGCTTCTAGGTAAGTTTTTGCCAGAATCTATCATTATAAAGCAAGATTTTTCTATACACAATATTATAACTATTTATATAAAAATTTTCTGAATGTTTACAACACAATGCTTCCTGAATATAAATCCAAACAGGAGGGTTCTTAGAATAGGATAATTTTCTTTAAAAATTATTTTGATGTTACAGCTACAATAAAAGTTACCTTGAATCCATAATTAAATCATATCTGTATATCAAAATATTTGAGAAAGAACCAAACCAGATGATGGGTTTTGTACAAATTGAAGCATTTAAAAATTACATGGGTTGTTTAATAAATCTTAAAAGAAAAGAGACGTTTAGTTCCCTGAGGAGGGAGCTTTAAAAACATTTTATGTGTCAAGCAAATCTCCACACCTCCCTTTCCCTATATTGCCAGATATTTTTTAAAGGAGAAACAACTCCACGCTTATTTAAAATAACTGTCTTGCAAGAGAAAAGTAATGTTAAAGGAATACCTTTGGAATCAAAAGCAACCCAATGGTGACTGTCACAGTCAAATGAGTATGTGCAAAATATAGCATTAGCATCCAGTCAGACTGAAGTCTTGAGGCAAGAACGAATCTGAAATGAGAATTCACCAAGTTAGTAATCCAACAAGATCTCTATTTAAAACACTAGGATACTTGGAATCTTTTTTCCTCAGTGTATTAAAAGCAAGCAAGCAAGCATGAGAAAAGTTGTACCGTTGTTTCTGTGGCATACATTTTCATCACAGAATAGGCCTTAAGTAACCCTGACTGGATGCATAAGACATGAACTCTTTATTATTTATTATTTTAAATTATCAGTAGTAAGAAAGACAGCATATAGTTATATAATGTGCTAATCATCTCCTGGAATAATTATTTTGTATGTAAATTGAATGTCTAAAGTAAAAGCAGTGAACACATGTGAATTCAAAAGAAGAACAGATATATAAACTAGTGGCTTCAGGCAAATTTGGGTTTAAGACACAGCCACCTAACTCTTGATTCTAATCTTTTTCCTTTGAAACATTAATTAAGAAAATGTTAAGAAAAAAAAGAGTAGGTAATTATCTGTCTTTGTGAATGGCCTCAGAGACTTAAATGATAATGCAATAGATAAAATGAATATACTAATGGTTTGTAAAACATATTTTTTAAAATAAAAATTTTAGTTGTTGTGAAGTATCAAATTGTTTTAAAATAATTTAAAATCATATTTTGCTGAGGAATTCATAAAATTGCTCTAGGACAGTCCTGTAGAGAAACATGTACAGGAAAAATTCAGTACTGATACCTACTCTGGTGATTTTAGAATATTTTCATAAATCAATAAGTATATGTACAAACTAAAACTCAGGTTTTAAGGACTCATTCTTTTACAGAAACCAGGTGATGCTTTTATTAAGGTCATTTTGCAATCATATTCTTCTTTTAATTTTTTTCCATGCATTGTTTATCCATGAAAGCTAAATATGAGATTTTATTGTGTTTGGAATTAGAGAATTAGCATTTTTTTTAAAGATTTATTTATTTATTTATTTGAGAGAGAGAAAAGGCGAGCAATGGGAGGGGCAGAGGGAGAGGGAAACAAGGAGAGACGCAGACTCCCCGCTGATTGCAGAGCCCCATTGTGGGGTGCATCTCACCACCCTGAGATCAGGACCTGAGCTGAAATGGAGAATCAGATGCTCAATCAACTGAGCCATCCAGGCATCCCTAGAGAATTAGCATTTTGATTCAGTGATATACATCATCATATTTGAAAAGCTAACATCTTAAGAAAATGCTTATGATATAATCATAAAACACATGAATCTACAAATAGAAGAAACTAATTTTATACCTGCATTATGCCATATTCATGACAAATTTACTAAGTAAATTAGTATTATTAATACTTAAAACAAAATTTCCATCAAGGGGATTTCTTCCTCATTTTCACCTCCATCCTGTCCCCTGTCTCCTCACCTTCTCCCACCATCCCCCCAAATCAAGCTGAAATGGAAGCTCAAGAGTTGTTCAAAATGGAGATAGTTTCCTCTGTGTTTGGAGACATAAAATTGCCTTAAAATATATACACAGAAGTACAGAAAGTTCATGATAGTTCACCTATAACCAAATAGGATTTTATGAATCAACATATTCTCTAACTCCTTAGTGAGAAATGTGGCTTTATACCTGCCTTGAATATGACTAAATGAATATTCACTTTGTTCAGGGGTGACATACTTTTGACAGATCCTGTGCTGGGTCAGGTGAGATTTTTTTAAGCACTGAAATCGGATCATCATACTCAGTAACAAGTAACAGTACCTGAGGCATAGTACTGAGGCATAGAAGCAATATAAAATTGTGACCTGGAAAATTATATAATCCAAATCTGCTGGGGTCATTCCCAGTACTGGAGCAGAGAGTTATATCAAAGGAGATGGATTTATATTCTAAAAGTGTTCTCATGCATTGGAAATTTCTATCTCAAATGCCAACACAAGTGAACTTTAAGCTAGCCTGACAATATCTGGAAGGAACAAGGGTTACATATATTTTAAATTAAAATGTTGAGTCTTCCAAAAAGTTTATTTGAAGTACTACATACTAACATCAATTGCCCTTAAATTAATCAGCGTTTAAATACTGCTAGGTTTGTTAGGTTGCAGTTCTGCGTAGAAATATCTTAAGAAAAATTGGGTTTTGCAGTCTTCTTAAAGATTTTTCTTTAAAAGACTATTTCAACTTCTAAAAAATAGATCTAACAGTCAGGAACATAGAAATAGTTAAAAATTGAGGTTAAGAATAAAAGCAAACTTTTAAAAGTCTTGCACTTTCCCAAAGCTTTGCTCTACACTTAGTAAAGGATTATAGAACAGATTAGGCAAAATGCCTTCTGCATTATTAGACTTCTAGACTTAATCCTTTTAGTTTATTTTTGTTTGATCTGGCAATTTGGTGAGAATAAAAGTAAATCTATATATAAATATGTAGTCATAGCTTTAAGTTTATATACTTATGTATGTGTATACGTATACAGTTATGTATATATAATTTTATATTTTAAGTGAACCAGAACAAATATATATGCTTATTGACAGTGAATATATTTGCTGACGTTGGATGCCTTATTTAATATTATTGAATTCTAGTAAAAAATTACAAAGATGGGTCCAGTTGATTTATATTATGTTATTGCTTCCTATTCTTGGTCTTTTATCAACATTAGAACCACAGCATGTATGAATTCAGTTCACATGTAAATAAGAAATTGTATATACTTGATTCCTTTAATTATTACTGCCTATTGCTTTCTCCCTGCTCATCTCCCTAAAATCAGTGTTCCGTAGATTTACTGTGTTAAACTATAATTCCATCCTTGGTTCTTTATGGTCATACAATGAAATTTCCAAGACAGAGTAGCTAATCTATACTATAAATCTTTGAAGCCAACATGCCACAATCTAATTGGGTTTGGTCTATGCAGAAAGGTAAGTCAAATTTGGAACTTAAAATTTGGGCTTCCCATTCAAGTTTTCTTAGGCTTGAAAATACCAAAGCCTACCAAGGCCGGTCACCTTGCTACCACTAGAAGTCCTCCCTATTCAAAACTTAAAGGGGACTACACAGTTGTCTCAAGGAAAGTTGATCTTGTCTACAACACAAAGTCTACTAGGTTCAATATGAACAATTCAGTCAGAACTTGTGTCTATGTGAACCCAGCTAGGCTGATGGGTTGTCTGGGACTCTGTAGGAAAGACCTAAGGAAAGTAAGAAAGCTTCTTCTTCTTTTTTGTTTTTTTTAAAGCAAGCTCTATGCGCAGTGTGGGGTTTGAACTCATGACCCTGAGATCAAGAGTCGCATGCATGCTCCCTGACTGAGCCAGCCAAGTGCCCCCAGAAAGCTATTCTGAATGAATATTTAGAATACGTTTCCTCATCTCGGCCCAGTATTAAAACAGAATTTTCTGAAGAGTGGCTGCTATTATCAGATGTCAATTGAGGGTTGGGGGAAATCATGGTGAATGGTTTGGAAAGTGCTGTTTAAACAAAGTTAACTAGGTTTCCTTACAGCAGGACTTCTCGGTATGTCACTTTGTGCTGTGACATTCCTAAAAGGGAGTTATCAAATGTAATGTGTCATAAATATACACAAGCATATAAAAACATCTAAAAGTGATATCCTAATATATTACCAGTGCTTACCATCTTTGGGTGGTTGGATTAGGGAGTTTATTTTTTATCATTTTATGATTTATCTGTAATAACCACCTATTGCCTTAATAGGAATTTTTTAAAGTTCATTTAAATCTTTTTTTTTTTAAGATTTTATTTATTTATTTGAGAGAGAGAATGAGATAGAGAGAGCATGAGAGGGGGGAGGGTCAGAGGGAGAAGCAGACTCCCCGCCGAGCAGGGAGCCCGATGTGGGACTCAATCCCAGGACTCCAGGATCATGACCTGAGCCGAAGGCAGTCGCTTAACCAACTGAGCCACCCAGGCACCCTTAAAGTTCATTTAAAAAGTAAATTTACCTTGCCTGCTTGGGCAAGTTGAGAGTGTAAAGTCCATTGAGGGGCACCTGGGTGGCTCAGTCAGTTAAGCATCAGCTTCGGCTCAGGTCATGACCTCAGGGTACTGAGATCAAGCCCCCCATCCCGTTGGGCTCCTTGCTCAGCAGGGAGACTGCTTCTCCCTCTCCCTCTGCCACAGCTCCCTCTGTTTGTGCTCTCTCTCTATCTATGTGTTAAACAACTAAATAAAATCTTAAAGAAAAACAAAGTCCATTGAAAAAACATACTTAATGATGAAAACGGAACAGATACAAATCTTAAGATAGAAAAGGATAAAGATCAATTTAGGTAAATGCTTTGAACAGATTTAATTTCTTGGGCAATTAATTTGATTCTAAGAAATACAGCAGCTGATTGTAGGGCAAAAGTAGAAAACCCTTTGCATGACAGGGTCACATTCTGACAACAGAAGACATTTAAACTCGTCTGTAAATTTCTTCTGGCATGCTTATGACTCTTTAATTGGTTTGTTAATAGAGCATTTAACTTATAAATGGTTCTAGAGAAGCATGTTTGTTACATCTTGAAACACAGGTGTTTGATATTCTGGAACAAAAAACAAAAATGCAACTTTTCTTGGGAGATGGTTTGGGAGATATGTGAAGACTGTGGAGCCCTGCCCGTGACAGAGTGTTCTCTGGTGCTCACTACACTGTGGACCCAGGGCATTCCCTCTCACATCCTTCAGCTCTAGTCCAAGTAGAAGTGAGAAAGCCTTCTTTTTGACTATTTATAACATCATATTTTGCTTCTCCTCTTTCCCTCCTCTTCTCTTTTTCTCTCTTTCTTGAGAGGGGGCAAGACAAAGCAAGGACAAAGGCAAATTTTCCTTTGATCCCTGGCCCTTTGATGGAATTTCTAGGGTTGTCAAATCATAAATTCTTCCCTTCTTACTTAAAAGTTAAAAAAGTATAGGTATGCCTAAGGTTCAACTGCTCTCTGGCAACATCTATCCCTATAAGTGCAAGATACAATTTTATAATTATTGACTAAAGTGAGAAATGATAAATATCTTCTAAAACTTCCATAGATCCACACTTTCCCACTCAGACTCCCACTATTGTTAACCTCTGTTTTTCAATTGAGGGAAAAGACAAATATTCAAAATTTCTCATTAAATTCTTATGTATGTCCTAACTTTGTCGAGCAAATGAATGACATCTTTTTGTTGCTTTTCAAATTATAGGATTTCTTTTTTTGTTCTCACTGAGGTTTTCATTTCATTTTCAGATATAAATAGGTATAAATTCTCAGAAGTCATACATATTTCATTTTGTTCATTTATCATAAGCTACTTTCTTCCTCCTTTGTACTTACCGACTATAGTAATAAAAGGGATATTAAAAAATGGAGGGCCAGGCCATACTCCTTCCAATAGAAAGTCATTGCTAAAATATGATAGTGATAAAACTTCATTGCACATGAAAATTGAGTCATTGGGTTGGAGTGGTATTTTAGTTTTGCATTTAGCAGAATTAATACACATAAGTTGACTATCTGAGTATTAAGATTTTAAAAATATAAACCAGTGTACTAACATGAATGGAAACATAGACAATTTATCTACATCTACTTTATAATGTAAGTATGTGTTGCTTTATATCTTCAGAACAAAAAGCATTATATATCATAACAACATTCAATGACATTCCCATAAGTGTTTTAATATAATACAATAATATCAAGTTAACTTTCAAATAAATGTGATAACAAAACAGAAGGAACTAAGAACAGCAGTCAAAAAACAAAACAAAACAAAACTATAGGGGTGCCTGGGTGGCAGAGCTGGTTAGGCGTCTGACTCTTGGTTTCGGCTCAGGCCATAATCTCATGGGTCCTGAGATTGAGCCCCACATCAGGCTCTGTGCTCAGTGCAGAGTCTACTTGACTTTCTCTCTCCCTCCCCTTCTGTCCCTCTCCACCACGTGTCTGAGCTCTGTGCTCAGTGCAGAGTCTACTTGAGTTTCTCTCTCCCTCTCCTTCTGTCCTTCTCCACCACCTCTCCCTCTCTAAATAAATAAATAAATCTTAAAAAAAAAATGAACTATATTCATTTGGCATTTCTGTGACAAAGAAATTAGTCAACTTAAAAACACTATCCTTCCTAAATCTTTCCATTATGTGTTATCCAATTTTGCTATTTAAATTAAACTGCAACACATCAGAGAAACAAAACAGTTATTTACTAGCTCCACAGAGCACTTGCCTAATTGTATGGAATATAGCAGAGATAATGAGCTCATTGTGAACTGCAACAGCCATATAGCGTGGCTCATGAAATGCTGATGGCACTGTCCGCACTGCATAGCAGAGATAAACACCCCACAAGAGGAATAAAAATTCAGCTGTGAGAAGAACAAAAAAAAGAAAAACAATTTTCCATTAGTTTTACAGGTGAATAAAAATGCAAAATTTAAGTTCTTTAGCATGCATTTTTTGTGTTATAGAAACATAAGTTCAGTTAGAAATAGATGCATACAAAATGTCACTCATATGTGAAAACATATGACATATATTTATTTTAAGATTTTATTCAGTGTAACAGAAGATTTTTCAAAGGTATAGTTTGGTTTTTGTTCTTTGTTTGTTTGTTTGTTTTAAAACAGTGGTTGGTTTCTCAGATTTTTCTTTTGCTAATACCTGGCTTTTTCCTCAAACAATTGTAAAATAATTTTCCACATCCCCAACCTAAGTTTGAAATATTCATAGAGCATCTGGGTCATGATGAAGTCTTCAAGGCAACAAAGGCTTATAATGTGTTTATATGCAGCTTCCAGAAATTTAAGCTCTTACTGTATTGAATCTGGTTCCACAACATAAAGATACCATTGCCAGAAACGTGAGAAAATAGGTTGTTAAACATTCAGCGGCATATTTTATAAATGAACCATTATTTCTTCACACATGACAGAAATCATATCTTTTGTGGGTGGAGTGTTGAAGTCTTCGTAAAATTCACAATCACCTTGTTTGCAGGCTCAAGCCAGAAGAGACAAGCATAGGATAGCAGTTAAGGATAAGGGCTTCAGACTCACACTAGACCTGACTGGAAATTCTGGCTCTATCTCTAATTAACTTTGTATAATCTGAGGCAACTTAACCTTTCTGGCCACAGTTACCTTATCTGGAAAATGAGAATAACAAAAGTACATATTTCATGAGATTATTTGTTAATGAAATCAAATAATGAATAGAAAGCACTTAACATGGTTTCTGACATAGTAGATATTAGAAAAATAAAGGAATAAACAAAAACACATGTTAAATGGTTCTTACTGTTAAATATCTCATTTGACTTTTTTTCAAATTGAACATTGCTATTTTAACTCATTCTGACCAATAATTGCTCAATCCATTTTATCATGTCTTAGCAACATGACCTCATTGGAAGATAGCATCTAAAGAAGATAATATCTAATTAATAAGAATAAAGAAGAAAGCTTTAATTTGGAGAAAACGTTTCATCAAATGCATCACCTCGAGGTAACCTACTTGCGTATCTATTGAAACACTGACTTCCATTCCCATATGCCAAGTTATTTACCTGCCAACCTGTCAGCATATTTTTGTCAGTAATTAAACAATAGGTAGTGCCCTAATTATTGAAAATCCCTTAAGTACAGGGTATCAGATTGGATAAAACAAACAAGACCCATTGATATGCTGTCTGCAAGAGACTCATTTTAGACCCAAAGACACCTCCAGATTTAAAGTGAGGGGGTGGAAAGCCATTTACCATGCTAATCAAAAGAAAGCTGGGGTGGCAATCCTATATCAAATTAGATTTAAAACCAAAGACTATAATAAGAGATGAGGAAAGACACTACATCATACTTAAAGGGTCTATCCAACAAGAAGATCTAACAATTGTAAATATCTATGCCCCTAACATGGGAGCAGCCAAATATATAAGCCAATTAATAACAAAAGCAAAGAAACACATCAACAATAATACAATAATAGTAAAGGACTTTAACGCCCCCCTCACTGAAATGGACAGATCATCTAAGCAAAAGATCAACAAGGAAATAAAGGCTTTAAATGACACACTGGACCAGATGGACTTCGCAGATATATTCAGAACATTCCACCCCAAAGCAACGGAATACACATTCTTCTCTAGTGCCCATGGAACATTCTCCAGAATAGATCACATCCTGGGTCACAAATCAGATCTCAACTGGTACCAAAGGACTGGGATCATTCCCTGCATATCTTCAGACCACAATGCTGTGAAACTAGAACTCAATCACAAGAGGAAAGTTGGAAAGAACTCAAATACATGGAGGCTAAAGAGCATCCTACTAAAGAATGAATGGGTCAACCAGGAAATTAAAGAAGAATTAAAAAAATTCATGGAAACAAATGAAAATGAAAACACAACTGTTCCAAATCTTTGGGATCCAGCAAAGGCGGTCCTAAGAGGAAAGTATATAGCAATACAAGCCTTTCTCAAGAAACAAGAAAGGTCTCAAATACACAACCTAA